CTATGCTTGTTGCGTTGCTTAAAGTATTCTCGTCTGAGGATACTGTTACAGTGCTTACTACCGAGCCGATTTGCTAGCCTATTAGGAGTTGACTTGTGGGTCGAACCATTTTTTACGGGCAGAATTTTTGGAAGGCTTTTTCACTTTTAAGGCTATATCAGCAGCACTGTGGAGACATTTTATGACTGCATCGTTCAGTTCATGATTGCCCTCCAGAGTACTGCTAAATTCATTTGTCACAATGCTTTCCAGATTGTTGATAATTTCGGGCGAGGTAAGGGCTTTTTTAAATAGTGAATGGGAGGTGTTGCTGTCCCACTTATAGCCACAAGGAAAGTTAGAAAAGTCTGGGAGCTGGAAGTTTGCGACAAATGGTTCAAATGTAATGAGTTTCAAGACTAATGGACAATGATCAGAGTATGATGTAAACTCTTTTACTTGGAGAGAGTTTACATGATCTCTTGCCCAGGAGGTGATTACAAAATAGTCAACCACACTGCTTCCATTGTATTTGTGACAGGTCATTTTTCCAGTGGTGTCCCCAAGGGTACGACCATTAAGAATTTTGAGTTGGTTATTGATAACCATGTCAAGGAAGTGTTGGCAGTGGGGTTCAGATATTGTAAGGTATATATAGATATTGTAAGGTATATATAATATATTGTAAGGTATATAAGAAGTTATTTAATTTTGCTTGGGCTATTATAATTATATTGACTATTGAGGTTTAATGATGATATGGAATTTGAATTTTATATAAATCTACACTATGTGGTTGGGGCATTTTGCATAGTAAATATGGTTACTACTCCTATATATCATATTATTTGATTGGTATTCGATTTCTGATTATTTCCCTAGGAATATGATTATTATATCTCAATTTGGCTTTAGGTAGGGTGCCCCGCTAAAAGAACTGGATTCTTCCAGGAAGCATCCCGTGCACAGAGCTTGGTCTACATATATATTAAATGATTAACCATTCATTCTGTATGTGCACGAAAATGTATTTCAATCAATCAAAACTTACACTCACATTCTATTCACAAGCATGCAAGCTCACCTGCTCACATGAGCCTAGCGGGAAACAGAGAACACAGCTCTTTTATTCTATTTACTTGATTTGTTGAACGAGGTGTCGTCACCTAGACTCAAGATCGGGTGACAGGCGGGGGCCGGTGACCGACAACTAGGAACCTCTCATTTCGGCCTCCCACAGGTATCACATCACATGGCCCAATCAGTGACGAAAACCCTCCAAAAGCAACTCGATGCTTTGAACAATTTCTGCTTGGAATGGGGCGTCGAAATTAATGCAGATAAAACTAAACTCATGAAATTTAATGCCCGTTTTGATACTTATCAGCCGGTTCCCCTCAAAATTGGTGATCACTTGTTAGAAGAAGTCGAGTCATACTGCTATCTAGGAATCGAAATACACAAATCCGGCACATTCACAAATGCCCGAACTGAGCTCAAAAAGAAAGCCATGCGTGCACTTTATGCCATGAAAAGCTCAGTAAACAAATCCAAATTATCATTCCGCTCTCTAACAACACTCTTTGATGGTCTTATTAAACCTATCGTTCTTTACGGAGCGCCTATTTACACACCTAACATGGCTATCATAAAACACATAACAAAACAAGTCGATCTCAATATGGATGCCGACACAAAAACAAAATTTCAAACTAGTATCCTCAAGAAAATTAGCCTTCTGAACAGCGAAAAAGTTCACCTTCACTTTCTTAAATGGTCATTGGGGGTAAATCGTAAAGCCAGCAACGCAGGCGTCTGGGGTGAGCCAGGCCGCTACCCATTAATCTATGAATGTATTAACCTCACTCTCAAATATAGCCAACGTTTGAAAAATCTCAAAGATAACTCCCTTGTCTCCTTAGCTTTCAAAGAACAGATGAACATGAAATTGGACTGGTACAGGGGTTTGGAGCCTGTCCTCGCGCTAGACCCATGTTTCTCTACCGATCATGTCACAGCCTACCGCACACTCAAAAACAATCACTCCAAGTTACTTTTCGAAAGAAACCCGAGTATCGCAAAACCACCAAAAGAGGACTTTCTTATTCACAACGGTTTCAAGAAACGAATTCCTCCTCAATCAACACAACCCATCGGGAGTAAAATATTCACACCACACGTCATTACTAAAACTTTGAAATGTAACTTTAGAGAATATTGGGGGTCCTGTATCAACACTTCTCGGAAATTAGAATTCTATCGTGACCTAAAATCCAAATTTAACAAAGAGTATTACCTAGATAGTGTCATTAAATATGCAGACCGTGCTAATATCACAAGACTGCGGATCAGTGCACATCGACTCGAAATTGAACTTGGCCGATATAATCAAACTCCTCGTGACGAGCGAATATGCTCCTGGTGCAATATAGTCTTAGGTTCTGGTATTATTGAGAATGAAGATCACTTCCTTAACCATTGTGATCTTAACGCTGCATCGAGGCGAAAAGTCCTAGACAAGATCCAGTCACTCATATCAAATCCAATCAAACCGTCTGCGACATCTTATTCTGTTCACAATGTCATCCCTGGAGCAAACGTCCTCAAATTCATCAGCAACAACAGTGAAATCATTGAACTTATCACGAACGAAAGTCAAGTCCACCTCACGAGAGTCGTTGCTAGGTTTGCCACTACGTGTTTTAACAACCGCAAGAAATTTGTTGACTCTCTGGCCAGTACATGAACAGTGAACACTGAAAATCACTGTACCCGCTTTTGTTTCTTTTCGCGCAACGACGAGTGCAAACTGCAAAGTGACCTGGCTCAAGCATTACAGCATTACCAAGGCGACTGAAAACAAAATATTTTATGTCAAATCTTTATTTTTCACTTTAGTTAAGTTATATTAATATAATAAATTCAAATCTTATGATATTGTTATTATCTTAACAGTTACTATTGTAGCTCAAGATTTTAAATTTGTATTCCTTGTATTCCTTGTATTCCTTGTATTCCTTGTGACGTATCATTTGTGATGTGATCCATGTTGAATTGAAACCGATACCTAGTTGTCCGAGCTGATTGGATTTCCCAAGCTTGCATGTTAATTAGTTAACATTGAAAGGTTCCTAGTTGTCCGTCAGCCGCGGGGGCTGACCAGGCCAGAACCCAATTAATTGGGTCTGAGGTCACGTGATTATGAGTCTGAGCACTGAAGTCACATGATTATGAGCCTGAGGTCACGTGACTCATTGGACCAGGTGAGCTTGCATGCTTGTGAATGTGAGTGTAAGTACAGCTGTACTGTAGTTTATACCTAATTACCCCTATGACTATGTCTATACTTATAGAAACTGCAAAGCGCGGGAAATTTTGGCAACCAATATATGGTTGCCAAAATCGATGGGGGGTTGGCGCGCACGAACCTTCCAATCGGGGTTGTGTTGGTGGATATGTGCTTTTCTTGACTTGTGAAACAACAAATAAGCGCGCCAGCAGCGGCGCGAAAGCACATGGTTAGGTGAAATTAAAGCATTCGCTTTGAGCATCGATTGCAATTTAATAAAAAGAAAGTATTTATTTTATACAACACTAAATATGAAACGATTTTTTGATTACTTAGATGCTGAAATGGCTGGATGATGATTAATCACTCTACACTCGACTGTCACGTGACTTTTTCAACCCGTTCTCTAGCTGGTTCTGAACGACTTTTCGAAACCCTAACCCTCTAATCTGATCCCAACCCTAACCCTAACCAAATCCTTAACAAAAACATATGCTGAAACCCTAACCCTAACGAGAAATTAGACTAACTTCCTTATACGGTCATATCACGTCATCGAGACAGGTTTTTGCCGATATCTCGCTAGGGGAGCATTTTAACCCTATGTCATGTGGGGTGATTCGGAATCAGCGTACGAAAAATCAGGTAGATTTCAACTGTCAGGGGCCCTTATGGAAAAATCTCCAAGATCGACTGTAGTCGTAGAGTAATTTAGCACGCTCGGTTAAGCTTCGCATCGATCTCGAAGGGTTGAACTTGACATAATCAATCAATAAGGAACAGAGAAGCCTCAGGTGCCAGGTAACACTTGTGTTGCTACCTGTATTGTATCTTATCGAACCTTATTTGGGCGGTAATTATATGGACGGATATAATTATTAATTATGGGCGCAAAATCTTTCTTTTTTTCACGTACATAGTAGCCGGACTTTAACTTCGACAGACATTATGTGGACACTGACTCTGAGCGCTCATAATGTCCGACGACCAAATAAAGTTAGTAAGGTTGTACCACATTATAAGGAGTAAGATTTGTAGTAACTAAACAGACTAAAATCTGTTAAGACTCTTTTATTAGGAAGGTTTAAATATTTGTGCCATCAATACACTGGACTTACCAGGGAGAAGAGGAAGACCCCAAAGCAATCTATTCTCGCTGATTGTGCATGATTTATGTAAAAGAAATATTTATTTGAATAGGGGGGGGTCCAAGGGGAACTTTGGGGAGTTTTGGGGAACTTTTTTTTGGGGAACTTCAGGAAACCTGGGGGACTTTCCCAAAGTTCCCCAAAAAATTATCAATGAAACAAATAATTTTGGGGAATTTTGGGGAACTTTTTTTTGGGGAACTTCAGAAAGTTCCCCAAAATTCCCCAAAGTTCCCCAAAGTTCCCCAAAAAAATTATCATGCCAAAAAAATTATCATGCTGCAAGTATCAACAAGTAAGTTAAGATTATACCTTATAATAACATACATGTTAACATTAATGGGTATTAATGTATATTAGAGAAATTTTGAATAATTTTGAATAATTTTGAATAATTTTGAATAATTTTGAATAATTTTGGGGAATTTTGGGGAACTTTGGGGAGTTTTGGGGAACTTTTTTTTGGGGAACTTCAGAAATCTTGGGGGACTTTCCCAAAGTTCCCCTTGGACCCCCCCCTGAATAATATCTTTGACCTGCATTATCTCCGTAATTTAGCGTATGACAAGAGATATTGGCGGGAATTGCAATGAAATTTTTGATTTTTAGTTTTCATTTTAGGGAAAGATTAGACTTGGGCGTTGTTTTTTAAACTATCCCTTGTTTAGAACTTTGATTTAATAAGTTTAAATATACATCTTTCTAGGGGTCGTCCTTCTAAAGTCTACACATTTTTAACAGTTCGAAAACCCAAATCTTTGAATGATATAAAATCGAGTTTAATCTAAAATACTTTACTCTATAATCTGAAACAATGTGGATATTTACAGGATAGTATTTACTGCAGTACAATAAAATGGAAATCGTCTGAATTTATTAATATTTGGCGTTGCGCTGAATAATCTGATATGACTCAAAATATTTTACTAATTAGCGTGTAATCCGGTTGACCATTGGCTTCTTTTGATCTACAAAAGTACAAACAAACAGTTTCATCTCTAAAGTCCATTGCACACGATTCTACCCGAACAGTCGGTCCTGAGTGCGGTGGTATTGCCTCAGTGGGTGAGCTCTATCGATATTCTGTGTCTGTAGAGCAGAAGCCAACTTGGTCTGATATCTGACCTCGGCTTGGTTCTGAATATCCAACTCTCTTGTTCTCTCAACTTCCTCTCTGTCTCTGATGCTGGAAGTGTAGGCCACTTGACTCATCAGGTCCGACTGATACGCCAAATTACGCTGAAACAAGATACGTGTTATGATATTGTATGGAATCTTAACATGATTTCAAAAACCTTTTAATTCAGTCGCTGAAGCGGCAATAATGATGGCTGTCAGAATTATGAAGTCAGGTGTATTATGAGTTCCACATGAATTGATTTGCAGATCTTTCTATTCTAGATGAGTCAACCATATTAAAGTATATTAAGATGTATATTATAATTTATAATGTATATTAAAATGTAGTTTTTTTTCGAATTGAGGAATATACTTTTAATATAGTTAGATGAGATTTAGATTTGAAAAATTTTCAAAACGGTATATACAAATCAACAGGATTATAAAACGGAAATATAAAAACCGCTTTGTCGGCAAATGCCAGGGCCCTAAAAATCCACTCAAAAAACCTCGAAACAGGACCCAGAAGCTTGTAAGCCACTGAAATAAATAAGGTTCTGAGACGATTCTACGCCCATCCTGAAAATTTCATGGAACAATTTTGAAAAATGAAGAAGCCTTTTTTGGTGAAGTCCTTTTTGCGAAAATCGGGAACAATTTTGTTCATTTTTGGTGGTATTTTGACCTTAATTTGCACATTTCTATAGATATTAAGCTATAAATCTCAGATAATGTATATAGATTCGGTTTAACTTTCATGTAAAGTTTGTCTCTGTCAAAAATATTGATAAGTGACCAATTTATGGGCCAAAATATATCAAATTTGGTGCATATTCCCAAATATGGGCATATGGTTCAAGGACCACTAGCTACAAGTAGAGCACCTAAAATTTGGGTTTTTGGGAATTTTGAGGTGGTTTTGCATAATTGGGCCAAAAAGGAACCAGATATGGACGTGGCTGCTTCGCAGGCATCAGTAGGTGGTTGGGGCCGTGGACCCCCTCAAAAGTTTGGTCACTGCCCACTGGTCCTCGGAAACAAGTTAAAAAATAATGCTTAACTTCAAAACTGGTAATCTTTGGTGAACATGGCGAGAAAGCTACATCAAAACTGGTAACTTTTGACGAACTAATAGTAACAAAGGTTCATCAAAATTGGTAACTTTTTATAAACTTGGCGAGTAAGGTACATTTGTGGCACATCTAGCTAGCTACATACCGCTTATTGACCGCCTAGTAGCCAGTAAATTACCATCATCTGGATAGTGACGTGGTTATGGTGTGTAAATAGGCGCTCCGTAAAGAACGATAGGTTTAATAAGACCATCAAAGAGTGTTGTTAGAGAGCGGAATGATAATTTGGATTTGTTTACTGAGCTTTTCATGGCATAGAGTGCACGCATGGCTTTCTTTTTGAGCTCAGTTCGGGCATTAGTGAATGAGCCGGATTTGTGTATTTCGATTCCTAGATAACAGTATGACTCGACTTCTTCTAACAAGTGATTACCAATTTTGAGGGGAACCGGCTGATAATTATCAAAACGGGCATTTAATTTCATGAGTTTAGTTTTATCTGCATTAATTTCGACGCCCCATTCCAAGCAGAAATTGTTCAAAGCATAGAGTTGATGGTGACAAAAGTGAAAAAGAGAGTGGCGTGCCACACCCTTTTTAAACTCTATAAACAGTAACTAGGTAAAGACATATCATCATACTGATAAGCCCAAGATAAAGGCACTTTATTGTAACGTCTGATTTAGCGTATATTTTTAACAAATAACCGATTTTACTTTACAATTTAGATCTCGTTGATAAGACTCAGATCACGATTCTGTAGCATACAGGAACTCTGGTTCTCGTGAAAGAATCTGATTTGCTCTATATATATTTTACGTTATTGATAGATTATACATTTTTATTTTCTAATACCTCGGACCTCCACAGGCATAAGAATCAATTCAAGATGGCAGCGAATGAAAATGTTACTGATACTTCTGGTCATAAAATCAAAATAAAATGTGGTAGCTGTACTTGTAGCGGCTGGTGTTATTCTTCCAAAAACATCCGCGAGTGCTAATGGCATGGTGCCAAAACAACGTCCACGTCAAATGTCTTAAGGATAATTTAGGTTGTACAAGCTGTTGTGAAAGTCTTATTCCTGGATTTTACGCGACTTACTATGAAATTTACGATGACTACAACAAGCTTAATGTCGCTATCTACAATCCATACGCTCAAAATAGTCGATGTAATCTTATTGGAGACGCCATGACCAATGAAGAGCACCAGGATTCAACATGGAGTGACATTTCGGCTTTCCTAACTCACTGTCAGTAGAAACAGCAACGTAATGTGAAAAGGTCGACATCCTCTCAACTTAAAACATTTTCCATGAATATCAGATCCCTTTTCAAAAATATTGATCAACTAAGAGAAGATATAGAAATATATGATAAGTATGATGTATTCACTATTCTGTTTTAACGAAACTAACTGCACATTAGAAAAATTGCCCAACGGAATAAACGACGTTACATTATATGGATTCCATGACACATGAACCGTATATCCAGGATTGGATATCCCAATTCCCAACCCTGAACCCTCAAATACTAGCGACGAATTTCACTTTATCAAGCTCTACCAGTGCAAAGGATATAACAGAACAAAAATAATTGGAAATGTTTATCGTTCTCCGCTAGAAAACCTGAAGCATTTCTTGAAATTTCAAAAAATACACTGCACAACCTGGGAAGACACTCTCGCAAACATATGACGTTACATGGAGATTTTAACCTGAATCTACTGAAGCATAGTAGCAACCAGGCATGTCAAAACATTATAGATATTGCATTCATTTCATTCAAATTGTATCACGTCCAACTCGCATAACAGACCACAGTGCCACGCGTATTGATCATATCTACACGAACAATCTTGAGGATAAAATAGGCTGCAAATTGCAATGTATTAACGACAGATAGTTACAACAATTATTAAAATAGTTGTTTTATTGGGTTTTATTATACTAATTAACACATAAGGCAATCGCGACTGACAAACCTGCTGGGTCCGCTGAACTTTCTGTTTCTCCAGATGCTCGTGCTCGGCAAATGCTTCCTTTAACTCCTCACGCTCCTTCAAAAGCACATCTCTCTCAACTTGCTGTTGTTGCACTAAAACAGGGTTTTTAAATTCTGTTATTGACATGCATATTTACAGAAACGCTTAGCATGTTAATTAGACGCTCATGCAACCTTAAGAGGGTTAATCACAAAAATCAACCATTGACGATGCTACCAATTGATTACAAAAAGAAAATGACTGGAAAATGAGTGTAAATGTCAAATAAGTCGTCCTAAATCGCCGATTTTCAAGGTGCAATTTCAGTGGCTATGTATCAATATTGAAAATTACTAGATGTAAAATTAGCTTTAAAGATAGGCGTAGTCATGGTGACGCGCGTAACTATTATGTTAAAGAGTGAAAGTTCATGCTTTTCAAGCTAAAACGGAATTCGCGCGTTACAGTAACTGGTTGCACTGTAAACTAACATTTTTCAGCGATTTGTTGTTTTCTTATGACAACCATTTCCTCTGTCATCTTTCTTCTCGCTTCACGTTCTAACTGCCACTGCAGAACACGTTTCTGCCACTGTTTCTCAACCTGAAATGATGAGGGAAAATGAGCGTACATTCGAATAAAAAATGTTTAGATAGTTATTTTCCAATCGATAGGAGAGTATGAGTATAAAATATAGACATTTTACCAAAAAGTTTTAGAAGTAATTAAATAATTATAACCATCTCATTGTAAAATTGGCTCTAATTTAAGTCGTACCTCCTCGTCTATGAGATTCTCCAACTCTCGCTCAGCTTCTCTCTCCTTTTCCATCTGTTCATCCAAATACCTCATGTATGCTTGAGCCTCAGAGTGGAGCTCACCCTGAGAGAAAATTCAGTTAAAAACCACGAAATTAGTGCCAAATTTGTAGAATTTGTTCTTTTACAATTGGAATTATAGCTGACTCATAAATACTAACACCAATGCAAGGATAGACCTTATAATCAGTATTCAGCATACAATTTACCAAAGAGTTTATCCTAAAATTATCTCGACCCTCTTAATGCTACCTTCCTCTTGACAGCCTCTTCCTTCTCATTTTCAGTCTCAGTAAGCAGCGCCTCTAATATTTTCATGTCAATGGCAAGCTCGCCTTGAAGTTCCTTTGCCTGTCGTCTTGCCTTCAGCTTTATTTGGTTGGTGTGGTGTTCTCTTGCTTCAGTTTGTTGTGTTCTCTTCACCTGTTAAAAGAAATCTTATTTAGGGATCAGTTTAAAATACACAGTATTTTGGCTGTGATGAGCAATGAAATGGCTTTGAGAGTAGAACAAGTTATCGAGCCCAGTGGCGTAACGAAGGGCCCCGCCGACCCCCCCCACCCATCCGCCGCTGTGCATAACGCAGGCAACGTTACGCCACTGATCGAGCCAATACTATTTTCAATTCCGCACATTCCTAGTTGTAGGGAGAACATTAATATATCACATTGTAATATTGGTTAATTGTCATCAGCTAGAGTTAATTTGTTAAGTCGATTAGAGACGGAAAACGAAAGCACCATGAATAGCTCTTTATTTGAAACATGAGTGTTTTAAATCACATAACTTGCTACTTAATATTTACTTAGAACTTTATTGAAAATGTTGTTGATTTTGCAAAGACGAAATAATAGCACTGGATAATCAATTTGCACACTGTACATCGCGGCGTCGCTTCATTCGCGGAAATTTTTTAACAGTGCCAGAGGCTGTCAAGACTGAAATGTAACTTAACAAAAATGTTAGGATATGTTTTGTGCACCAATTTTAAACGACTGAATAAGTTAGATCAGCACTTTGTTAGACAATGTTACAAAATGCCGATACCAAAATGGACCACAAAAATGATTTTTATAGTACGTAATTTAAAGAAATTCGTACGCTAATTAAACAGAATCTTGCGAATTAAGTACTCAGAATGCTTGTACAATACACTGCAACTGTCACTATGCTAAGTGTTGATAGTGGTCTTTAATTAATACACGTTTTCGAGCTCACACGCTAAAATCGGACGTTGTTGACAACTTGAAATAAATGTTTGCAACTTGAAATAAATTTTCTGGCTTTATCTTTTTATAAGCTTAACAATCATTACATTTCAGTTCTAAATGCTATCGGTCATTATACATTCGTGTAATAGGAGATGTTGGCTGCAAGGTTGCAACTGTGTGGCTTCATGAAACACTCGGACTATGTCAACGAGTAAAGAAACGATGTTTGAACAATGTCAATGAACATCTAAAGAACATAGTACATTTTGAAGACTCTATATTGCACAGTTACAAGTATATCATAACAAGTACTGATTCAAACTGAAATTTGTCCCAGACACGAGCTGCTCCATAAGTTTAGAAACATTCCGCATTTAGGGGGGGGGGGGGGGGGGACTACATTCCGCATTTAGGGGGGGGGGGGGGGGGGCAACGCCGCATTTACCAATCTATATTTAAATCTGGGTCACCAAACACAGATATCGAGTGCAGATGCATTTCCTGTACAAGCATGGGCCCAGCACTAGAGTTAAGCTCCATGGCCAGAGTTGAGATCAAATAATGAAATTAAAGTAGGACTGGAGAGTGGAGCAGTCCTCGGAGTATAGGTTTAAACTCAAGCTCAGCCTGCATGTTGTGACCTGATCTGATAGTGCTAATACTAATAGCCTTCACAACTTTTGGTATTCGATTTACTCAAAATTTTTCTCATAATTCAAAAACTCATCATTTCTCATTTTGCTCCGCAAATTTTCACCACTGACAATTTATTTTAACAATGTCCAATATAAATATTTAATATAGAAAAGAAATTCGCTTGACAATTGTGTAATTTTTGTGAAACTTGATTTCGAGAACAAATTTTGACCAATAAACTAGGGCATGTGGCCGAACTTTTGAGGGGAGCGCTCACTGTTGCTCAGTACCCACGGGACGGGGCACCCTTATTTGGCTCAATAAAATTTTCAGGGTCAAATTATATCAAACAATTCATTTTGATTTAGGCATTTCAAAAATGTTCAAGGTCTAGTCAATCATAGGGGGGACTACACATAGGTTCGCCACTTGTACACGTTGATTTGGTTTGATTTTAATGCGCGTTGATTCGAAAAAGCCACGTCAGCAACAATATTTTCAACAATCGCCCTGGCGGCCATGCTGGCCAGCCAGGGCACAGTCCCGATCGCTCCTGATCCACCCCTTGGTCTAACTTATGGTCTAACTTATGGTCCTGGCACAGTCCCGACTGCTACCGCTCCTGTACTTAGTCTAACGTACGATCCTGGCAGCAACATCTCAGATGGCGGAATAGATTGGAACTGCAACACTAAACAGAACAGAAACTCAACAAACATCGAACAGACACCGAACACTATATACTACTCTAGAAATGGTTTGGACACTTTAAATGATTGCTGTAATGGCCCTTATCAGTCGTACAAAGAGATAAGGACAACTATTTGTAAAAGTACATTACACGCAATAGAACACATTATAATTGTAATTGTACATTGCACAAGACTTTTCGAGCTAATATTCCTGGAGCTATTGCAGTCCTGCTTTAAAGCATTGATGAATATTGTAGGAACTTGCATGTATTATTTTGATGTATGGGGTAGACAAGGACATGACTTTATAGTGTGGTTTTGGAATGTGAGTTATAGTTTCGAGCGTTTAAACAGCAATTTGATTTATAACATATGCAGCAGATATATCTCTAATGTTATGAATGAACTTAATGACGGTTTTATGACGAGTATGTTACGGTCCTCTTGCTCAGCCATGTCACTGCTGCATGCCTCTTCTAGGTTTCGTTCCGCGCCCGCTGGTCTTTCCCAGCCAGAGCCCACTAGTAGAGCTCCGCCTCCTCGCGCCTTGTCTCCGCATGCGTCGCGAACCGCGTCTCAACTGAGTGTACTTGTCTTTCAGCATAGCAACTCCCCCACATACACTCCTCACAATCCCACTCACAGTGCACAGTGTGACAGATTAGGTAGTGACCGGTCTTTGCGAGCTGGGGACTGGTTTCAGATAGCTGTAGTTGTCCTTCTGAGCCTCTGCTTCCTTGTTGCGACGCTCATAGCCGTTACTTTGCTGCTTTTACTTAGGGAACTCAGAAGCAGACCACTGGCCCCTACCGTTCCTGTTTACGTCAGTGAAGAAGTAGAAAACCAATGTCTTAGTTCTAGTAAAACCTCGTGTAAACAGATCTCTCAACCCGGTTGTTTTTCCAACTCAATTTTTGATTTCTCTGCTTTGAAACTTGGTAGTTTGTTTCCACCACCTTGGCTGACTAATGCAACAGTGATGATGGTGAACGGCTCTGGGAAAACAGACGAGGCTAAGGAATCAAGTGAAACAGAGGATAACGACACTGATATTACTGAAGTAAGTGCCACTGAAGGTCTCCTGAAGCCGACCAACAATGTGCTATCATCTTGCCAGGAAACTCCCGACAAGAAGCTCAACAGACGTCTAAGTAACGTGAGCTGGGGTAACACTGAAACAAGTGATGATGCTGGATCTGAGTCAAGTCTTTCAGGTTCACAGACAAAGAGTGATACAAACAGGCGGAGCACAGTGTGGATCAGAGATGACGGTGAGATATTTCTTGACAAAGGGAAGTCCTGCAAGCTTGGTTACATAAGCGACTACATCAGTACTGAGAGCAATGCTAACCTTTGTGCAGAACTCACTGCTACTGTTGGGAAACTCTGCACACCAAGCAACAAAGATAGGTACAAAATCGTCCTCAAACATGGTGTGGAGACCAAACTGACAGATGTTGATCTAAAAAAGGGGGCAAAGAAGCTTAAGAAGACCGCAACCCCTAAAATGTCTGAACTATCCGTAAACCTGGACGAACCGTCTGAACTTTGCTCTTTTGTCAAATGCCACCAGGATCGTATCAACAAAACGGTTGAGGACGTTTTTCAGTTGGATGTTAAGTTTGACAAGACCACTATTTATCGGATGAGTGACCCCTCACACAGTATTCCATACGGCAACACTAGCCAGGAAAACAGCAATTTCTCTCCAGTAGTTGCAGTGTTGGCACTTGGTCTGAAGGATCCACGCCCCATGTACATCAAGACCCAAGCTGGGAGTCAAGTAACCCACAAAGCGGCCCTTATGTCTGGCACGTTGTGCGTACTCAGTGGCAAGACAGAGTTGAGATACAAACGCTCGATACCTAGAGGTTGGGGAAAAGTAGAAGAACAGTACTTGTACTTCCTGATATTTGAACAGAAATGTCCAACAGAAACTGACAGCGCCCTCAAAGGTCCGCAGAAGAACCCTCAGTCAGACATCACCACGGAACAGGCTGAAGAAATGAACTTCCCCCTCCTTAAGACTCCCCCCACTGTTGTTCGAGTAACGTCTGTAGCAGACAACCTGGATTATGAAGCAGATGGAGGACTCCTGCTTGCATCAACGATCAGTGCAGTTGTAGGGAAGATGGATGAGGGAACGGTAGATAAGGAGCTCATAAGAAGTCAAGTCTCAACTGCAGGATCTTTATCTGAAAAGCGGACAAGACTTCAGAACAAAATGTGCATGTCAATTGGGGAACTCTCCATGTCAGCAGCCAATAACTCGATGTCTCACGGCATGAACTTCTCACGATGTGACTCCCCGAGGATCGAAGACGTGGAAATGAAAGATGACATTGCATCAGTGCGTAATGCTCAAAAATGTGTGGAGAACTCTCTAAAGCATGTTGTGGATTCCATCGTATCTGTCAAGGCGAATGTAGCAACTCTCCAGGAAGCGACCAAACAACAAACTCAAAAAGACATCTCGCCTCACCCAACCAGCAACACCGACGTTTTGGATGCGATAAGTGATTTGAAAAGTGCAGTGAGTGATTGCAACAACAGAATCGACAATCTGAGCAAGACAAATGTGTTTACACAAACGATAAAGGAGTGCAATGGTAAAATTGATGACCTTGTGGAGAACATAAACGGCACAAAAGATGACCTTCAGTCAATGAGGAAGATTCTGAACGACCTTAGTCAAAATGGAGTAGATATCATGAAGAAATCGGTGGAAGACATGGGGAGCTACTACAATAGTGTCTTCTGCGATGAAACAAGGGAGCACATTAAAGACATCCACGCGTATGTAACACACCAAATGTGCGAGGTCGCAATTCAAACTGACCCTTTGATAAAAGAAATAGCAGCGTTAGGAGACCAACCGAACCTA